GGTGAACCTGGAGTTGCAAAGGGCCATCTGTCAGGCAGTTAGCAGCTGGAGGGGCTTGGCCAGCAGGCATGAAAGGCACTGGTAAGAGTCCACTGAGGGTAAAACAATGTCCAGAGGTTCTGGGCTGAAGAAATTGGGCTTGCAACAACAACCAGTTCTGCAACACATGGTGTCAGCACGTCTCCAGAGCTCCTTTGATCTATAGCTGGTCCCAGCTTTCTGTTGCTTGTGGTTACTTGGGAGGACTAGAGGGTTAAAGAGGCTCTCTGACAGCATTTCAGCCCAAATGACACAGTCCCTGCACTGAGAACACACGTTCTACCTGCAGCAGGACACAGTGCCAGGTACACGCAGGGCACTGCACCACTGCATGAGAGGTGCCTGTCAGTATAACTGTGTAATTGCAATCACGTTGTTTAGCACTTTAACACCTCCTTTGAAATGTTGTCTTCTGAGGGATTAGCCTTGTTGGGTGTTTAATATGCAAACATACCTGCATTTAATCTCACCTACTCATCTAAATATTTCATGTTGCTTTATACCCACTATTGTGTTGGTAATGCAACATATGTAATAATTCCATGCTGTCATCCTACAATTTCTGGATGCTGCCACCTTTCCTTATCATTACTTAAGTCATTGTTTTTTTCAATTTCAAGGTGTGCTAAACATCTAATTCCCAGAACTAATTGCCACGAAGGATTGAGAGAGTTGCCTTCATCCAAATGCATTTGGATTCAAGGATGTTCAGAACTCAAGTGCTTGATGGAGACCTTGGCATGGAGAAGAGTAGCCAGTCACAGATTTACCAGAGCTCTGTGGTTTTAGACAGAGAATTTTATTCTGGGTGTCTCAGTGAAATGATGGACTTTATCTTCTAGAGCTACCAAGAAATCATATCACAGTCACTCTCCCATCTTTCTGTAGCTCCTTCAATACAGGGAAATAGCCTGTACCAGACAGGCATGCCAAGCTCACAGTGCTTATGGCAGCCCAGAGTGAAAATACCCTTTATCTTTCTCATTTCTGCTCATTTCTCATTTTAGCTAATTCTAAAGCTAGCTTTAGGTGATCCAGAAGACAGTTGATACCCTCTGGAGATTCACCTGTTCTGTCTATAAGCCAACACATCTCTGAGGGATGGTGAAGTGGAATTCCAAATCCTCTTATAGAGGGCTATTATTACAGTACCATGTAAAAGAACAACCTGAGGATCTCAGCTCTCCTCAGGCATGAGACACTGCACAAATAGAGACTAAGGGAGCAAGCTTGCCCTAAAGTCTCAGTTTTGAACAAGGCGCAAAAGCAGGGAAATGATGGATTTACACCACAGCCCAGTGACTGAGCCAGAGACAATCCTGTTCCCATAACAGCCTTAATCACAGAGGTTGATCCTGCCCTGATCTGACCAGGATGGGAAGAGGGGGCATCCCGACTGTCCCAGTTGGCAGGGAGGCATTGCTGGCATCACTGGTGAGGCTGTGCCCCCTGTCCCCTCACAGGCTGTGCCCCCCAGGGCACGTGGGCTGCCCTCTGCCTGTGCTGCTCCCTCCCTCCCTGCACACAAACTCCAGGGACTCTGTCCAGCAGTCCTTTAGGGAATCTTTGGGGCAATCTTTAGGCATGAGCAGTTTCCTGCAGGCATAGGAAAAATATACATTCCTTCTAACCCACCTCCCACAAGCGTGGAGAAGCCATGTTGTAAAGGGTATGGAATTGTAAGGACATGGGAGCACCAGCAGAACAGATGCAAGATGTGCAGAGGATTTTTATCCCCCTGCATTTCCTAACCAGGCAGTAATATCTACTCACCAATATAAATTATTTGTTGTATTATAGTGTTAGAATAGGGATCCACTTTGAAGATTTGTGCTGCTATTCCTACATACACACACTCTCTTGGGAGTTATTCCCAATCACTTTATAGCAAATAACTGAATTAGCTGTCTATGTACCAGCAGATAATCCCCAAAATAAGCCTCTTAAGAGCCGATTGTCATGTTGCTGGTGAATGCATCCAGCCCCAGAGAACATGAACAGCGAAAGGGGTACACAAATGGAAAATGGACAAGCACCATTGCATTTAGAAGCAGCCAAATATGTGTGCGTGTACAGACACATGCACACTTCAACGTGCATTGCAAGAAATGGTGTCACTATTACATATAATCCTCGGGTTTAGACATTTATACTAACTGCATTGATATTATTAAATGGCAGATCTATACTTTAAATATTTAATTGAATTACCAAAATATGTCCAGTGCATTAAAAGGCATCAATCATCCCACTACCAGCTGTTCGAGCCACAGTGAGTTTCCTTTTTCCCAAAGTCAGGCACTAATTACTTGTGCTTGTAAAAGTGTTTACAGTGCCCCAGCGGACCAGAGGTTAGCAGGCGAGCACCCCGAAGAAGATGACTTTATCAGATAGTACATTTACAATACAGAAACCCATTTTATAAAGGAGATAGTTCTTTAAAATAATTTTGGATGTAGTCTACCGTAACTTAACTTTCTTCACGGCTATTGCACACAAAGCACTGAGGCCCCGATGCCTTCTTCATTTCAGCATTGCTTTTTCCATTCTTATAATCCCATTTCATCACGATGGGATTTTTGCTCTACAGGTTTTGTGGTAGAATAACCGGGCGCGACTGAGCACGGACACCCCGCACTCCATTTGCTCGCCCGCTGCATCTCAAAGTAGTTACGTCTTTATCCCTGAAGGAGCGGCAATGCAGAAGCCGAGGAGTCACTCCCATAGCCGAAAGATGATAGAGATCTCGGGGGAAAATTAACATAGCCATTGACAGTCCCTGAGAGCTCACTAAACAGCAGCTTGGGAGGCATCCTCCCCTCCGGAGGTGAGGGCAGCAGGAGCAGACACCGGCAGATAATGCTCGAACAGGCTCTACTATTCTTTAATCTTCAAAAACTACCATTAGTAAGCCAGAGAAGTATATTTACCCACCAGATAAACACCACAAATGCGCTAGGCTGCTCTCCACTGAGCACTGAAATAACCCCTCTTCCCTTTCGCTTCCCAAGGGGAGCGAGGTGCAGCATCGCGGCTCTGCCTCCGCTGTCCCGCTCCGGGGGCCGGGGGGGACACAACGAGCGGGGCCGGGGGGGACACGGCGGGGGAGCGGGGCCGGGGGGGACACAACGAGCGGGGCCGGGGATGACACGGCGGGGGAGCGGGGCCGGGGGGCCCGGCAGCGCTGCTTTCTCCCCGGAGAGGCACCGGCTCCGTCCCTCCGGAGTGATGGATGGAGGGAGGTGCGCGTCGCCCTGGGGCTCTGCTTTGTTGGGTTTCACCTCCTGATCCCTTTCCCTTCTGCTCTGCTGGGCTGCAATAGCCACCTCGGCTCCGGCTCCGCGGGTCCAGCTCCGAGTGACCCGCCGCGGAGGGGATGAACTGGGGACGGCCCGGGGGAAGGCGAGAGAGCATTATTTATCCGCCACAACTTCTCATTGTCGCGGGGCAGCGCTCAAAACATCCCCAGGCAGTTGGCTCAAAATAAAGTAGGCATTGCTTCCCTTGTATTTCCCCTCAACAGTCGCCTTAGTATTATTATTATACTTCTATAGCTTTTGCTATCGGACCTTGTAATTATGTCACACAGCAAGGGAAACCGCCAGCATCCCAGCATCTGGCGTGCGGTTAAAAACTTTTGTTTTAAGATTTGAACTATTTATAGAAGGAAAACTTTGTAGGATAGTAATTTCCTACGGGTTTGAGAAAAATATGGCTACGCTTATATTAAAAGGGTGTATTTATTTATTTATTATGACTTCTTCCTCCTGTCTAAAAAAAAAAAAAAAAAAGAAAGCAAAACCAAAGATAGCACGGCAAGGTTTTTTTACAAGCTATCGGTCACCTACCCAGTAGACATATCCCTCCCGAGAACAGAAACAGCCTCTGGCTGAATTAAACCTAACGTGCTTCCATAAATCTAGGCGCCTTTAAAAATCGGTAGCCAAGACATGTGCATTTCATTAGGAATTAAGAATGCAGAAATAGGCTTTTAGTTTCTTTTTATGCGTGTGTTTATTCCTATTTCTCTCCTGTAGCGGTGGGCTGTGTTTTTTCCACAGCCCACAGAAAATACACACACACACACACGCAGAGGAACACACGCACACGTGCTTGCTTATATGCATGTTCTCCCATGCATGCATACAGAGGAAACAATATTTTTATATATATATATATATATATATATATATATATAAAAATATATATATAAATCCACATGCAGTTCAGGTGTAAGAGCTCAAATTTGCACCCGTCGGGATACGAAAGAGTCTGAGGTCGCACGGGGGTGGGAGAGCAGGGAAACCCGTCCGGCCCCGGCAGCCGAGGTGGATGCGGGCCCGGGGATGCCGAGGCGGGTTCCCCATCCCCGCCCGAGGGGAGCCCCTCCGCCGCGGCCCCGGTAGCCCGGCCCGGCCCCGAACCGCCCGCTGCACTTCCCGGAGCTCCCCCGGGCTCGGGCCCCGCGTCCCGGGAGGGTCTTGCCGTGCCCCGGCGCTGGGGGGATGCTCAAGGGAGGGAAAAGGCTCCCCGGTTTTAAACCGGCTCCTGCGGCCGGGTACCTGCCGCCCCCAGCGCCCTGGTCTCCCCACGGCTGCCCCGTCCGGAGTGCGGGGGAGCAGAGCCCGGGACAGGTCCCCGCAGCCCCTCGGGCTCCGGCTGCAGCCCCAGAAGGGCCCGGCTCCGCTCGGGCCGGCGGGGGACCCGCGCCCGCCGCCCCCGACACCCAGCGCGGGCACAGGGACCTGCCGGGGACCCGCCGCAGCACCACGGCGACGGTCTGTCCGCAGCCCGCACGGCCCGGCCCGGCCGCTCCTTATCCACCGCAACGTTAGACGCAGATATAGATATTAAAAAAAGAGACCGAAATTCCTCGCAGTCCCACCCACCGACTCTCATTTCCCCCACCCCTACCTCCACCCCCTTCCTCACAAGGAAAAGGTCCTGGAGCCAGCCCTGACTGCGGGACTGGGGATCCCTCCGGAGCGAAGGCAGCGGCCGACAGGGCTCCCCGCGCCCGGCCCGGCCCGGGCGCTCGCCGCCGGCTGCGGCTCCGCGGGCTCCCGGCGCTCACACGGGCTGCCCCGACGGGCGCGAAGCGATGCCCATCTCCGGTCTGGCAGGAGGAGGAGTCGGGGTCGGAGTCCCCAGGGGAGACGCCGCCGCTCCGTGCCCCGCCGCCCTCCCAGGTGCGCCGCCCCCGCTGCGGGCACGCCGGGCCCCGGCCCGGCCGGCGGGGCAGCCCCGCGGTTACCTGGCCGTGCGTCCCTTCCCCGGCGGGCTCCGACCGGCAGCGCCGGCACCGCCACCGGCGCAGCACCTCCTCCTCCTCCTCCTCCTCCTCCGCCGCCGCCACCGCCACCGCCACCATCCTCACCGCCACGCACCGCGCGGAGCTGCCGCCCGGGCTGGCTGCTGCCGGCTCCCTCTGCTCGCTCTGCCCTCTGCCCATAGGTAGCTGCTAGCGGGGGCATTGCAAACAGTATTTGGAAAAAAAAAAAATCTGGATCACTTACAGGTAACTCCCACTGGTAAGGATGAGGAAAATCTGAGGGTAATACACTGAGAGTAACACACTGCGAGATGAAAAAAGGATCATGGCTGAATCCCGTTTACACTCTTGGAGTTCGCTTCCTTGGTTATTCCTTTCTGGCCCCCCCTGGTCGTAATTTCCCACCCTTTTTGGTGTCAGCTGTGGCTTGAATCTGAGTTGGAATCCAGTCCCTTGGGCTTGGGGGGGCTTTGTCTGTTTGTTTGTTTGTTTGTTTGTATTGTTGTGTGTAGTATTCCCCTGGTGCTAATGCTGCTCCCTGTGCAGAGTGTGTGCTGGTGCTGCTGCTCTTGCTGCTGCTGCTGCCTCTGGGCTCCTGCCTGTCATGTCTCAGTGGTTGGAAGTTGTTACAGTGGGTTCTCGTGTTGGAATGAGGATGGTTTAAAGGATTTGGATGGCAGAAAGTGCCTCTCTCTCTCTCTCTCCCTCTCTCTGTAACTCTCCTGAGACCCAGGGCTGCCATTGGGCAGTCAGTCACTGCAATCCGCCTACTTTTTTCTCTCCCTCTCCTTTTTTTTTTTTTTTTTTTTTTTTTTTTAAGGGGAGGATGACAATAGAGAGACACTGATCTAGCCTGGGCTGCAATGAATCCGTGCTCCCTGGCTGAGCTCTCTCCACACACCTCGCCCCACAGGCGCTCCTCACCCGCTCCACGGAGCATTTTTAACTCTCCCCCGCGCTCGGGGGCTGCAGGCTCCCTGCCCCTGCTGTGGCACCCTTGGCTCGCCCTGCGAGAGATCCCGAGCGAGCTGGCAGCTCCCAGCTCGGATCACGGTTAACTGCTTTATTGTGGGCGGTTGCCCCAGTTCTCCCGAAGGACTCCGCCGTCCGTCCAACCTCTGCGGGGGTTTGGCTCTTGTTGTCCCCCCGGTGTTGAAAATTCAGCTTCGGTTTCAGGCGGAACTTTCAAAAAAAAAAAATATATGTAGTCGTAGCCTGCGTGAGTGAGAAATAGCCATGCACACTCGCAGCTTCCTGGCGAGGTTGGGTTTCGCAGGAGAGCAGGGAAGGGGAAGGACTGGTCTGGAATAGCCGGTATAGGGGGGCGAGCGGGGGGCGTCTGCCGGCGGCTCCTGGCTCCCCACACCTCGCCGCTCCTGCAGGAAGAGCTGTCTGCTCCTCTCTCCCCTCTCCCTCGCTCCTTCCCGAGAAGTTGCCGGTCCGCAGAGACGTTCCCCGGCAGGTTAGTTGCCTCTCCCGCGCGTTCCCCCCGAGCCGAGCGGCTCCTGCCCCTCGGCACCGGGATGCTCGACCCTTCCCGCTCCGGAGGGCAGGACCCCTTCGCTTCGCGTAGCCCCAGTCGTGCAGGAGACAGTCGTGCCGCTTTTCTTCTTTGCCTCCTTGGCCGTCTGTCCTTTTTCTCCAAAGGGCTCAGTGCCACGGTGCAGTACGTGCGCTGCGGATGCCGGGCTGGGGTTCGGAAACGAACCCCGAAAAGAGAAACGGGCACTGCAGAGACTTTTACACAAATGCAGCCGAAATGAGCAAGAACCAGGCTCCGAAGTCTTCTGAGTCTGCAAATGTTCGTCTCAGGTTAATTGCCTACTGACTGAAGGAGATCTCTTGGCTAAGAGCTCTCCCAAACACCCTGGGAACACCTCCTCCAGTTAACCAGTCCCAGCACATGGGCGCAGCTGTCTCCGCGACACAACGAAATATTCCTTCAGACGGAATGGGAATTGCAGAACTGGTGCAAAAACGTCGTATGCCGCCCGATATGCGGTAAAAATCTTCTCGGGATTTGGTTGCTCTAACCACTTTCACCTTCAAGTTCAGCACAGACGCCGTGGCAGCCAACGTCCTTTCGAGAAACGCTGATCTCGATTAACAAGAGACAGAAGCTTAAGCCTTTCAACGATTATTTACATCCCAGCATCGTCTTATTCATAATTACTTAAGATTTTTAAACGGTCGTATTTATACTTCCGTAAGTGTGTGTGCGGTGCACACACAGCGGGAGACACAGCGACGTGTGTCCCGCTCCCCTCTGTGACCCGCGGGCTGTGCCCGGGACAGTTGTGCTGAACGTGGAGCAGAACGAGCAGCCACCCTGGACATTTTATCTCTAGCATTTGTTCCGCCTCGAACATACACTTTAAATGCGCGATGGCTCTTAAAGATGTGCCATGGGGACAGAAGAAGGGGGGAAATGAACTGTAAAAATGCTGGCGCTGGAAAACTGCGAACTGGTGTTGGCAGAGTTTGACCCAGTCCAGCTGAAACAAAGACGGATTGCCGATTTCCATAGTTTTCGGATCGAAGATGATTTTATCCACAGCTCAGTTTTGTAGAGGGAGAAAAGTCGTATAAAGAAACCAAATCGTGCCGTTTCTGTTCGAGGAGTTATTTTTTATTCTAAAACTACGGGCCGGTTATTATGTCCAAAAATTAATGATGATGGTGGTGAGAATAACCTGCTAAATTCCATCCAAATGGTTTCTATACGTATGTCAGACGGGGATAGCGAGATAACATTTGTTTTATTGATTGAAGACGAAAATATTCCCTTCAATTAAATTATGTCATACTGGAAGAGAAGTATTGTCGATAAAACCTAATATGGGCACTTCAGTATCTGTCGTTCCTTCTGCCATAAACAGGTGTATTTTGGACAAAACGGGGCAGAATGGCACTGAAATGGTTGCCGACATCAGAGTCGGGCAGATGAAATAGAGAAGGCACGAATGAACTATTTGGTTGGGGGTTTTTTCCCCTATTAATTCTCTATTCCCAGCCGCGGTTTCTTTCTTGCTCCAAGCCTGAGGAGAGTCCAGCAGAAGGGCACGTTGGAAGCCGGGAAGGGCTTGAAAGGTGCGCCCGGCGGGCAAAACACCGGGGTCCTTTCTGGGCAGCACCGGGTGTTTCTGGTATCCCACCGAGCTGCAAGTCCAGTGCCGGGGGAAGGCAGGGAACGAAGAGTCCCCAGAGGAGCGGGTGTCGGGCCGGCGGGGAGGGCAGGGAAGGCGGCGGCTCCACGGTAGGTGCCCGTGGCGGGGCCGGGGAGCAGAAGGGGCCGATCCCGCGGGGTCGCTCCCGGGGCCTCGCCGCTGCTCCCGGCGCTCCACGTGCTGCCGCCGTCGAGGCCGCGCCCCGGCCGCTCCTGCCGAGGGCAGGGGGTGCTCCCCGCGGCCGGACAGCCCCGGGGGCGGCGAGGGCAGCGGGATTTCGTTGGCCTTTTGCTGCGAACGCCGCAAAGCCGAGGCGAGCTCCGCTGTAAGGGAGGAGAGAGGTCCCGTTCTTGCCGCAGCGTCCCTGGGAGTGCCGAGGGGGAGCGGAGCGCTCCGGCCGCCCCAGGGTGGGCTGAGTGTCCTCGCCCTCAGCCTTGTGAACCCCCGGCCCCGGCCCCGCCGCCCCCAGAAGGGTTGCCGGCACCTTTCGTTGCTGCCTTGGGCAGCGTCAGCTCCCGCCGCCCGTGTCCCTCTGACCGCACCGCGACCTCCTCCCCGCTCCCCTTGGCGCTGTCCGGCTGTCGCCCTTCTTTCCTTCCAGAATAAAGAGGGGAAAGGTGGTGTTTGCCCCAACTCCCTGATCCGGGTATTACCCGCGACTCCATCTTCCCGAAGATCACATCACTTATCCCGGAGCATCCGCTGTGATTTGTATCTGTGGTACTGCTGTGATGTCTAGTTTCTGATGTATTTATTAAATAAACGGGAGCCGAATGCTCTGCGATCTTGGCAGGAAACATTTCTGTTTCAATCCCGCCGAGGTCAATATTTGATGTGACCTGTTTTCGCGGGGGGTTACGAGGAGTCAGCAGAGCTGCAGAAACTTTAAGCTTCTGTGCCTGGACAGAAACGTCATCGACAGAAATATCAAGGGATGCTTCACCTCACTCCTGTTTCTCCAGCGAACTAGGGGATAGGAAATAGAAACGAGAACAGGGGGAATTTCCTGAGAGGAATGACTACCTGAGTGGGACCTTGCCCTCTACTCCTAACTGGACACAGCGGCTTCTTTATGGGACTCTGCCGTGTCGCCCCGCCCCGCCCAATAGCTTATGTATCGCGTTATTTTCTCTCTCCTCGGTGTCACGTTTGGCACCGAAAGGGGAGCTTTTAGCACGTTTTATTAAGACACGAACACGTGCTCAGCAGCAAGCAAAACCAAAAAAAGCCTGCCAAGCCTTCCCTCCTTGCCGTGGCTGACACGACGGCGCTCTCCTTCCCGCTGAAAACCAATCGAATGCTCTGGAAGACAGAATGCTTTTTATCTGCCTTCATCTTCCCCTTTTCAATGCAAAAAGCTCACCAGAAAAGGCATCATTACACTCCAAGGATATGGTTTCAACAAAATGGTAGTTCCAGTGGCTGATGAAAGAGGAAATAATTGCAGCCCACATGCCTAGCCTAGAAGTAGCCCTGGATCTCAGAGCAAATTTCTCTCCTATTGTTCAGAGAAAGTGAAGTATCCTCATCGCCTTACAGGCATGGCGATGAATCTGATAGGGTTTCTGCAAGGGCTTTTACTGTTCCTACTGTCCGCTCGGTTTCACTTCCAGGCTCAGTCCAGCAGCATTCCTGCGAGTTTTGCTCTGAATCCCCTTCTAATACAGCCACAATCAGTTTCGAAAAGAGATCTGCCTTCCAGGCTGTAACATGTGCCCAATCCTCTGTTCCCTTTCACCGCAGCGAAAGTGAATAGCAATATCATTGCCCTTATTTTGCAAAATGTTGTCTTTGAGCTCGCCTGCAGCTCTGTGAGGAGTGTGCTGTAGAAAGTCCTCCAGCTGTTGGAGTAGATGGAGTACCCCGTCGTCGCTTCATTTACGGATACACAGCCTTAGCAAATTCACTTCTCATCTAAACCCCCGGCAATCCGAGACCGGAGGACGACAGAGCCCATCACCGCCGACCACGGCTACGACAAAGGGCGGCGCAGGTACTTGGCCCTGCAGAGGT